TTTTCTTTCTCCACCCACAAAATCTATATCATGAAGATATGATCTATAAAATATTATATATACAATATCAAAATATTTTCATATTTCGTATTATGTTTAATCACAGACCTAATCCAAGACCAAAATTCCAATATTTCCAATATATCGAAGATGAAATTAAAATAAATATTTTTAAACACGTCGAGCATCCTTTCAATTTGGCGATAAGTTGCAAAAGCTGGTCTGCTATTGCAAGAGATCCACATACTAAAGCCGAATGGCTTATATCACGTTTTGGAAAGGCCCATGCGTTATTTTACTCAATAAAGTTGGGCCCAAGCTTTATCGATACATTAGTATGTGAAAATTTATTTACAAGAGGGGTCATCGTTTCAAGATATTTTATCCAAAGGTTATTAATGCAATTTGGAAAAAATGATCAAAAATTGATTGAACTTGAAATCGAACATAATGTTGGTGTATTACCACAAAAAATTAAATCACCGTGGGCAAGCAATTTATCTCTACCTGCGTTCCTTTATTTGCTAAACGAAGGATGTAATAAGTTAGATAGGGAAGTTCCTTTAAGAGGAAATGATATGGAACTATTTCATTTCCTTTCGGCTGGTCCTCACGTGATCGATAATGCACCTGGAATGATGCGAAAGAATTTAACAGACATCGAAGATTTGATTTTGAATCAAAAGTTCATCCCGTTTCCACCAAAGCCAAAATCCGTTCGGCTAGATTTGAATCATGACCCTCACATCCTTCAACTTCCACCTCCGGAAGAGTATCCTCCCAATGACGGTTATGAAAATAGAAGACATCTTATTATGATCGCGAGAGCAATATTTATTCATCCATATTTAGTGACTTTATGGAAACAAATTGGTTATTATGAAATTTGTAACGATGTAAACGATTTAGTTATCTTAGGGGCATTGACCATTCTCTTCCCTTCAACTCCTACACCTAATTGGAATTGCCCCACCGTTACCGTTGTAATTTCACGTCTTACCGAACTTATAAATTTGGGGTTTGAGTTAAGTAATAATGTTATCATTGACGCCCTCCATATGTTTAAACATCGGTTGGATGAAATCGGTAATATCCTTTGGAGTGTTATCTGTGAAATACGATCCGATAAACCGCTTGCCTTTGGATTATTTCGAGAAGTATTAAAACCAGAAAGAAATTTAACAAGCAATTATTTGTTAAATTTTCTTAAAACAAAATTTGATGATCATGAACAATTTATGAAACAAGTTGTTGAACAATATTTTAAAGAAGAAAAGATAAGCGATATGGAATCAAGAAGAAAATCGCTGATCCTTTCCCCCCGAGTTTACCAATTCATTCTTGATACTTACGGACATCAATCTGAATTGACCTTGATGTGTTTTGAAGATATTCTTGCTTTAAGGATTTATATTGATATATCACGGAATTTGGAAGGTAGCAAAATGTCAATTTGTACTTACAATTCAACCACAACCACTTTTAATTTGTATATTAAAGAAAACGTAACTTTCAAGCCAGAACATATGGATCTGCTAAAAAAAGCAACAAGTTTAGAAATAATTCGACCATTCTTTGTTAACTTCCTTCCTACTGTCTTTGATATGAATTCTAAAGTGACCAAATATAACGAACTTAATAATTCTAAGAAGATTTGGATGGACAAAATTAATATCCTTATTGAAAGAAATTACGAAGGATTTTCTGTTAATTTTAAAGAGAACTTCCTGAATTTCCTTAAAAGGTTAAAAAGTGGATAAGTTAAATATATATGTACCTGTATTTGTGTACCACAGCAGCATGTATAGACATTCTCATTTTGTTTTATATAGAACTAACTTTGGTTTTTTTTTTTTTATTTTTATGATTGTAATAATAGTTTAGTTACAAGTAACTTAATTAGAACATTTTTTTTTCTATTACATAGCGAATTTAACTGGGGGCATACATAGGACCATATTTCTTGGTAAATGTATACATACTATCATTTATTTTTTTTTTGGATAAAATCTAATCATTGCGTAGAAGATTTCTGCGACGACATTTATAATATTTATTGTATAACTAGTATCAAATGATTTCATTACGAAAAAAAGATAAAAAAAAATTTTTTTTGACCCATAAAATAATTCCATTCTTTATTATCCTCGATAATTTACAATATTTTAATCTTTCTTATTCAGACATAACTAAGAAAAAAACCATGCATTTTAAGATGTTAACACACATTTTGTTTTGTTGATAAAATTTTGTTACACAAAGTATCATAGTGTTTTATTTCCGCCCGAAAGGTCGCTTGTTCGATAATTGTGTAGCTAGTCCTTGTAGATCATTTTTTATGTGTTGGAAATCCTTAAACAACACGGTCCGCCTTTCTTATAATGCATACATACACCTTAAACCCTTCCTTTCCTCCTTTGCGATATTATTGCTTTCGCCATTTCGACCTCATAAATTTTAACATCGTAACTCTTATTTTACATTTTTTAATTTTGTATTTGTGTAATTAGTATTTGTTAGTGATTAAGTTTAATATATTGACATTGCGAAAGTGTAGAGCGCCCGACGTTGAGGCAACACTGATTAATTTATATTATTAAATAAATTTATCGTTAAAAATTATATTATTGACCTTTGCATTATTAAATAAAAAACCGGAAAACTATGGTGCATACAGAAAACGTGACATGCAAGTTTTGGGGTGTGACACTGGTGATGTTTCAATTTTATTAAATATTTGAATTTGAATTTTAGGTTTGTTCGTCACTCGACTTATGTGACAAATAAGCACAATCAATTATACCAGCCAATCGTAGTGTGGGGTTTGCTTACTTAATATGGTAATCGTCATTGTTAAAAGAATTTCCAAAACCACTGTATATATTTACTATATGAGGATAATATTTTGTTCTAATTTGGAAGGTTGACGGATGATACGATTGTCAGCACATATAAACAATGCTCCACCTGAGAACACTTCTCTACTTTTTCGCTTAAAAGAAAACTAACAAAACGTTTCTGCCAAATACTATTTCGCTATTGTTGGCCTTCGAAGTAACGTAAAGAGAATTTTTAAAATCTTTATTGTTTATTTTTACTTTTAAGAATAACTTTTATATAATTTTTCATTTATTAATTTATTAAGAGAAAACCTTGACTACAAATGAAACGAAAGACTATAACGCTACGTTTCTTACAAGCAAAACGGAAGGACTTCTTCGATAAAGCTACGCTACCGCAAACGAAACAGAAGGAGTTCTTCGGTAACGCTAACGCTACCGACAACGAACGAATGACTTTTCGCGTCAAGATTCAAAATTCAAGGTAGATGCTATTTTCTATACGGGTGGAACCGTTAATGGGAGAAGTATTATATAGTCATTTTTTCACATATCAAAGCAAGTGTAATCTTTTAAATAGCGTTGGCTTTGATAAAATAACATGATGCAGAGTAATTTATTACAAATCGTCCCTATTTATTGACTATTATAATAACCTCTTAACCCCTCGCTCACTGTGTAATTTTCTAAAAAATCCATTTTGGAGTGGTCCATTGGTTCTGGCCGATCTTCATTTGGGAGTAATTAACCACGTTACTCACCCAACTCATTATTTTTTTAAACACAGAAACGGACGATTCCGAAAATTTTCTGATTACGCTAACGCTACTAACAAACGAAACAAAAGACTTTCGTGTCAAAGGTTCAAATTTAAGAAAAAAACCTAAAAATTTTTTTAATTTTTATTGTAGTACTTTTATTTTATTTTTTTTTTAAAGAAAAAAAATTCTTTAGATGGTCGTACATTTAATAAATAATTAATTTTATATGTAAATAAATCTAAAAATTCCCTTTGAAAAAAAAAAGAAATGTAATAAAAAAAAAAAAGGACTTACCATAAGAATCCGGAGAGAGAAAATCCACTGGGTAAATTGGTGGATTCAAGTTTGACGTTTTCTGGAATATCGGAAACTCAAAACATCAAAAAGCTTTCTATCCTTAAAAAAAAAAAGGTTTAAAGATTCGTAATCAGGAAGAAAAATATTTAAAATAATGATAATTACAACAATATTCCCATTGGCACAAAATGCAAAGCAAAAAATACTTTTCATTATACTTAAGTTATTTTGATCATATTTTAAGAACCTAAATAATTTTGCACTACAATGGTTTGATGTTTTTCCAGAATATTCTGGTTAGTATGGTTGTAGATCAAATCTTTTTTTTATAAAAAAATGTTTTGAATACAAATTCTTTTGAGAGATGAAAACATATTAATATTGCCTACCTTTACCCACTAAAAAGTTATAATACTGCATCAAGAGAAGTGTAGTCAGCTTGACCTTTACTGATTTATTTGATGGATGTTAGAATGATTCAAGATATTTATCGTGCTTTTCAGTAACGACCGAGACAATAATGCTGCAGAATCCATACATATATTTTGTCCTGATAAATTTCAAAATTATACTTTCGCGATATAATAACTGATTGAACTGAAATCACGAGCTTTGGTTTCACAAATCAAAAAAGGAAATTTCTTGTTTTTATTTTTAATAGCTCGTGAAACGATTAGATAAGTATAAAGATAGTATAAAGAAGGCTAGACTAAATTAATCGACAGAGTTGGTTCATCCAAGTTTGTTGTTTTGTAGGGATTGAAAAGTTATGGCTTGTAATGAGGGACGCTCGTCGTTGACACATTTTAACTCAATCTAACTCAATCTTCAATATAGTTTATGTTCACCCAAAAGCATTACTTTCGGTGTAAAAAAGTTTATGAGAAAAGAGAGGCAAAACAATGAACATATGAATGGAACGGTAGATCAATAATATGGTAATGATCAACATCAGTTTAACGCCCAATTTTTTTTTATAATAAAGCGTATTCACTAATTATTGTGATTGTTACCCGATAAAGACTTTTAAACTTTAAAAAGGGATGAAATTTTTAAATTTTCAAAAATTTTCTTTGTAAAAAAAAAAAAAAAATTCCTTATAATGTCATATAATTTCCTTACAAATTTATCGGATGACTACCTTACGGTCTTAGAAAATGAAAAATATTCAGATGTTACCATCAAAGTTGGCAAAGCAGATAAGTGCAGAGAATATAGAGCACATAAACTTATTCTTTCAGTTCGTTCAAGGTTCTTTGAAAAAGAAATTCAAGAACAATATAATAGAAGCACAATTGTTCTAGAATATGAAAATTTTGACTCTCAAGCGTTTGGATACATTTTACGGTAAGCCATTCGACTTTATTAAGGTTTATATATTGTGTGTTTACTAAAGTTACTTATTATCATCCTTACTTTATTAGTTATTTGTATGTTGGAACGTTTAACTTGGAATCAAGAGATATAAATTTTATCTTAAACATGCTGATTATCGCTGATTTAATTCATCTTACAAACCTCGTTAATGTGCTTCAACGTTATTTAATTGAAAAAAGAAAGAGTCAACTAAATAATCAATTTAGTCTGGTTCACAAAGTTAGTTCTAAACATCAGTCATTCAAAAGTTTGCATGAACATTGCGATAAAACCTGTCAGATTACCCCTGATGTTGTTTTTAAAGCTCTTGATTTCGTCAACATTCATAAAGATGTTTTGGTATACCTTCTTGAAAACAAGAAGCTCAAATTATATGAAATTCAAAAATGGGATTATATTCTTAGGTGGGGGCTGGCTCAGACTCCTTCAATTCCTTTCACAATCTCTTCCCATGATTCTTCTTATGATACCTCATTATGGTTAAGAGAACACTTTAGGGATTTATCGGTTACCACTAAACCAATGATTAATTTAATTGATCTGAAGCAAATTTCCAGAAAAGATTTTTGCGATAAGGTCAAACCCTTTAAAAAATTGTTAGAAAAGCACAATTATGATGATCTTCTTAGTCATCACTTAAGCGTAGAGGAACCAAAAATTGTAAGTCCATTATTTTTAGTTTCGAAAACATTCGATAACATCTTTAGGTAACAAGAGAGGGAGGGAAAAAGGGTTTTAATAACTTTATTTTTATTTCAAATTTCTTTTCATTTTTATCGGGCCTAAGGAATTTTTTTTTATGTTTCAATTTAAGTATTCGATTGTTTTGACAAAAACTTTTATCGAAATATTTGATTTTGTCGGTTTATTAGTTTAGTACCCATGAGAAGAAGGTATAGAATGAAAAAAGTTTAATAAATATATTTATGTAGTATCACCAATAATTATTTTAATTATTTTAAATTTCTTATGAAAATGAATTGCTATGGGGTTATGGGTTGCAGATGAACAATAAGTAAAAAAAAAAAATTTACTAATTATTAAAGATCACGTGTCATTTTTAATATAAATCAGATTTTATAACTTTTTATGTATTTTTTCGTTAAATTTCAATTGGCTGTTTTGGACCTAGTCGAAATTTACTTAAGACTTAAAATACTTTATACTTAATAGGGTATTAAAGCAAATTTTATTTATAAATTAATTTTATTAAGATTTAATAAATTAAATATTTTTTTATTTTAATTTTCAATTATTTATATTATTTTTTTTAAAAAAATTTTATAAACTTTAATTATTTATTTTAACTTTAAAATTCTTTAATATTAAAAAAAGTAATAAAATAAATAAAATTATTATTTTATTTGAAATATTTTATAAATAAAAATAATTACTAAAGAAAAAGATTTTAAGATTAAATTAATAGTTGTATAGAAATATGCAAAAAAAATAACAATATTTTTTAAGAAATTGATAAGTATAATTAATCTAATTTTAGTTATACATATACAAATAAATATACAAATAAAAATCTTATAATTACTATCATGATTAAAAAACTTTTTCATATTCTATTAAAAATTTAATTTATTTAATATCAAAATGACTTTATTCAAGCAAAAAATTTAATATCAAAAAATTTACTTTTTTGAAAAAAGAGAGTATATACAGTCACGTCTCGATATAATGAAATTGCTGATCTAGTTGATCAGAACTTTGTTATAAGAATCTTGTTAACACTGTAATGAATTATTCAGTATGTATAACGAATAATTCATTATAGTAGATGATTACTGATTTCATTACACAAATATAATTTTACTATGATATAATTTTTCCAGAAATATTT